AACCAGTTGGGAAAGGCAAGGTCAACTGGACCTTGGTTGACGTGACTGGGAGTCCTTCGGGTTGCTTTGTCGATAGATGCACTATCTTTCCTATGATCGTGATAAGGGGAAGCAACGACGTAAATTAAAATGACATATGACCATACGATGATGTGTCATCGTAAGATGGCCAGAAGCGTAGCTCAAAGGATAAAGTTGGATTTCAGTTCTTTTTCTTCATTTAATGTGTTTTATTATGTTGTGTCACTGTTTTACCGAAATATTGACATGCCCACAGCTTTTAATTTATTTTCCAGTGCCAAGGAGGAAAAGGCTGTGCATGTCAAAATCGTTTGCAGGAACAGAGAAAGACTCCATTTACAATTGCAAGGAATAGTTTACACACATGTGAGACACGTTCCTAATTTAACTAATTATCATGATTGTGACTCATGTTTCAAAAAAAAACATTTCAAACCACATATTGACGGACCAGTATGATTATAAATCCAGAGAAAATCCTTCGTTAGGCGTAGTAGAATCACGTCGAAAGTCTCCTGTCACATGCAAATAAGCGAAACATGATCAGCATGTAGCGAAAATATTTCTGGAAAAATGTTCTCTCAAGATACTCGGCGTCGAATTTGCACTATCATTTCCAGATTCATTATTTGTCTCCGAATGTCATGTTTCCTTGGGATTTAATTATCTGTTCCTGCTGGATGCCTTAAGTGGATTTCACAGGAGTTCGAAGCCAGCCTCGAATGGAAGCCTCTGAAGGCAAAAGTGGAAGAAAAGAAGATTCCGGACCTTGGACTGCATCGATCCAGCACCTCTGGTCGGAAGGGAAAAACGAGCCGAGAATTTCATGTCCTTCGGTCACTGGATCCTCGGCCCTCACTCCGTGTCTTTTGATAGTGCTATTAGGATACACGCCAGAGTTCCTAAGTTGAATCTACTTCAAACCAATTAAAAGTTGCGGTTTCTTTAGAGGGCAAAATTGCTTTGAGAACTAAGAGTGCTTACGTGGTCAGCATTCCGGAGACTTTCATTTCCACTTTTCCGACCCGCCCAACATTCGATAAAAGTACCCACGAAGGACAGTATGAGAAATGTGCTGGGCATGAGGGTCCAAAGAGGAAAAGCAAATTGCAAAAGGAAAAAAAAAATTGTTTTTGTGGTCCTCAGGTTGGTAGCGCTCACATTGATAAGTTCCCAACACATTACCCAGGACGCCCATGATCCCTCGGAAAGTCCGAACCCAAGTTAAGCAACATAAACCCCTAGGAGAAGTTTTTCTTCCTTCCCCTGTCCTCTTCGCATCTTCAGACTCATGAACAAATATGAGGTAGAGACATCAAATTCATGGTAATGATACCAAATTCATGGTTTGCACTCAAGGGGTTCATGGAATCCTACTTTGTCCTCGTGGCAGACAAACGATAAATGAAGGCCTCCTAATTGCCGGTCATGTGTGCTATTATTACTCTTCCGAGTCCGGGACATTTAATTGTGCCTCTCAACAATGCCTTCATCACGTTACCTCACTCCTTGTGAAGTCTGGTCCTCCAGACATATACACACAATGCCGGGCCTTTCGGATGCTTGGGTGGGAGTGCATGGGAGTATACAATGAGGGCCAATGGGGACGCCGCCCTCAACTTCACCATGCCTCTTACACAACTCCACCCTCACTATTCGTGCAGCATCCAAATCCACCCGTCGGTGGGCGTGGGCACTAAGCCCCGCTTGCTACCAGACAAACTCGCCAGTCTCTCCGAAGTGTGGGTTCGCTGCGCTTTCGTCAAGTTGTGACGTGACGATCTGAAGGATTGCCGGTCAGGTGTGCTACCATTATACCACCGAATCCGGGACATTCGGTCGTGAGTCTCAACAATGCCTTCTTCACAAAAAGAACAAATATAGAAATGAAATCAGCCTTCGTTGTGAAATGACGGATCCAGCCTGATTCCAGACACAAATCCATTTGTAGAGGAACTCCAATTCGCGGATAAAGAGGGAGAATTTCACATGAAAAGTATTTCTCTCCATCGGAAGGTATTTACATGTTCAATAGTGGCTGGTCATTGAAAGGCCATCGGCGCCATGATTCCACGGAGAGGAATGAAGCGATTCACATTCCGGCAGAAAAAAAAGTTTACTGAGAAAGCATTGCTTTCTGGGGAATTACACCGGCAAACGTGTTAAATCTCACCGTATCAAGTCTATTATATATAAATGATACTGATAACAAATGTGGTTAAGAATCGGGCAAATGCCCGAACTCGATCGACGAGGAAACTGTTCAGTGCCTCATTTATGTGCCTCCTTCCCATCGATGAGACAAACATGCGGTTCTCTCGCAGTATGAAGATAGGAATCATCGCGTATGGAGTGGACGTTGTTTCTTCATGACATTAATAATTCCTTTCGCTTTGCGTCTGTAACGGGCCTCATCACCTTGGAGACATGGGCATGGAGTTCTGCTCGGGAAGAATTCATGTCTGGGTCTTCTTTCGGGAACGAAAATGCGTTATTGCACTTGCTCCGGGATAATAAAAAATCTTAAACCTTTTGCATCAATTATCATGGCATACGAATATGCAAAAATAATTCACTACAATCTTTGAAACCACAAATTCTGCGTCGCGTGGCTGAAAGAAGAGTCACCTAAATTTTTCATCTTTGAGTGAGGCATGCAACACGAAATGAATAATTTTCACCCTTCTACAGTAATTTCATTGCCTGCAGGAGATTGTTTTGTGGAGAAGTGGGACGTTTGGACTTGGTGAAATCAGCTAGATACGAGGTTGCAGGTTTCTATCGTGTCGACCGACCGGAACGGACGACCCACGCTGACGAAAAATGTTACGTGAGCCTTTCCCAAGAGACTAGGATTTATGCGCTGTGCGAGCCGCTTTCCCTCCACTTGGCCGGCGAACGGGATTGGGGAAGGATGCAACTGCTGCTCTGGTTCCTCGTTTGTTTCGTATGGAGGGCGATGGGACCATCACGACTCAGCAGTTCTTCTCCCCCCAGAACTGGAACATGAAGATCACGTCGCCGATTCGAGAGCTTCTTGTTCTTTCGGAGCTTCATTGCGCCATGGCTTGCAAGCAGTGAGTAGCCCGCGACTTTTCTCGGGATAAATGCCCTTTAAAATTCTTTGGAATTAAGTGCTTGAGGGCTGCTCGAGTTTCACTGTGCCGTTTCCCATTGAAAACATCTACCGTAGTTGGATTTTGAAACACGTCGACGTCCCTCCATTTAGGTCTAAGCCAACTTGACTGTGGATATCCATTTGCTTAAAAATCCACCAAAGTAAGATATCCACATGATTCGAAGCACACCAACGCGAACGAGCAACCGGATATCCACCAACTGGGATATCCATCTAGTTCCAAATGCGTTTCGCATTCACCCTGCCATTCAGCCCAGTTGGTTGCGTTGCCCCTTTGGCAAGGGTCGCGTAGACATATAAGGAGTTCAGGAATGTAACAACTTTCCGGGACTTTAAAACTGGTCCTTAAGCTGGTGGCTTTCCATTTCCGGTCTGCGAAAGCCCGACGACTCGCATCGCTCACGGAGTTCTTGTATTTTATTGCTTTAAAATTAAGGAAAACCTATTACTTGTATAAGGCAAGAAATTCTTCGAAAGCAGAACAATATGATGAAACATTTATGTTATAAGCTGAATATGTAATAAAATAAAGAAGCCCTTTAAAATGAATGAATATTGCATTTACTTATCGTATGTGCAACCACAGTCGCACTCGGTTATGACGAAACCTCGGTTGTAACGACGAAAAGCGCCAGGTCCCATGAGGCACGTCACATTTTACCTCGGTTATAGCGAGAACCTCAGTCATGACGAAGCCCATTCAAGGTCCCACTGAAGAAATCGACAACGTTGATGTCCCTAATCCGTCATTCTCGACTGGAATTTCCATCATCGAATAAATTAGCGTTGGCGAGCCATAACTTCATCTTACCTGGAACCGTCATTCCTCGAGAGTCATACGGACTGGAATGCGAAAAAGGTTTCAAGACTGCTCATTGCTGAAACATTGCAATCCAGCTTTTCATTCAAGCCCCTAGAGCCAAGTATGTGATACCGATGTCTTTGTTGCAATTAATGATGTTAACAATACTTTTTTCCAATTGCGTTGCTTCGTGCGTTATGTTTCAAAGTAATCGCCATGTTCCCAGACGTTTCACAAGTATATTGTGTTGTTCTCTGAGAAATGGCCGGATTAATCCTAATGCCTGGCCATATTTCCGCTACAATAAAGGTAATATGCCCTCTTTGAGCAAACTTGGAAGGAGTCCAACTTTTGCAAAATTCATTGATTTTTGTTTCAATGTTCATCGCTGGGATTGAGTGATGGAGAAAACAATCTGTTTTCGAAAATATGTCGCAATGATTCGAGGTTTTCAACAGTACCAGCCAGGACTCCCTTTTAGTGTCATATTCCCCCAAGTTAACCCTACACCTTAGAAATAATTTTTACAGACGCAAACGAAGCGCGATGTGACGGATTAAACTGGAATCTCAGTGATAGTTGTTCTTTCAGGAATTCAACGTGCTTCAGTTACTCCGTGACATAGAATTCTGGGACTTTGATCTGCCGATACGGATATCCATACGACGAGCCGAGGACTGCCGATGCAGATAGCAAGTTCTTCTACAGAGATGTGCCAACAGGTGAAGGAATTTAAAGAATCTCAATTTTCCTGTCTGGGAATCTTTGGAATGGCGAAAGAAAGAGATCCGCCTTTTCCATCTGCTTTTCCCTGCTCTGGTACCATGAAAAAATTTATGTTGACAGTACCATGGGGTTAATTTGACCCCATGGTAAAAGACCTACTATATTAACAGAATGAAAACACTGTTTATTACAATAATTTCTTTTTCTCCAAATAATATTATGCAACAAGCGTTTGTACTCAAATATCGACAAACAAACGGAAAAAATACGTGAAAGGCGTGGTCACTAATCGTGATAGTTTAAAAAAAAAACATGGGTCAAAGAGGAGTGGGGTCACAGAGACCCCATGGTACCACAGCAGGGTTAAATTGTCTGCAAGGTGTTTTTTCCCCGTTGTCATTCGCCGCTAGAGGAATCAATTACTAATTATCTGTTGCATTGCTTTGATGCAGTAATGACAAGAATGGCGTCAGTCCCTTTCTCCTATAAAATATATTTCAATTTATTTGTTTTGACATTTTCTTGACGATTCAGCATTGAAAACGTCGGTGTTTCCCAAACTATGGGAATTTCGCGTTATAATCGAAATACGCAGAAATGCATAAATGGACTCTAGATAATGGATACTTTTATTTTAAAACGTTCGCTGTCACCACCCTACATGTGATCAGGTGCCCCTCCCTTCCCCGTTTTTATTAGGGTCTAAACAACCGATAAAAGAAAGCACGTGTGACCGACCAACATGCGTTCGAGAAGAAGAAAAGGTTCATAGAGCTACCATCTCGGCACTGAAGAGTGAACTACGATGTCTAACGAATATTTGCATGAGAATTCTTCGCGCCAGTTTTTATTCGACCTAAGTGGTATACGGTAACCAAAACTTGAAAAGGCTCTTCTGATCAAGAAGGCCTTATCCGAATCATTCTCACCAAATAGTTTCGGTGTTAGTCTCTTCACCATATTATTAAGTGAAATGATTGACTTTTCAGGAAGGGTACAACCTGGTGCCGGGGACGAGAATTTACGTGAAGATGACCGTGCAGAGCATCCTTAGATCTAACACCGCGACAGCGTGCAAGAATGAAGGCAGTCTCCTGGTCTCCTCCACTGACGAAGCGGTGCACAACTATACGAAGCAGCTGTGGGCCAATCGACCGTCTGGGAGCAATTTCGTGGTCGGTGGGGTGAGCGTCGGGAACAGGGAGACTTGGATATTTCCCGATGGTGAGTCTTCTTTAGTAATCTTCTCATGGGGAGCCCGGATCCCAAGCACTCATGCATTTGAGCGATAATCCTGAAATAATTTCACCCACTTATTCATCGTGCTCTGGGAGGAGGGGTACTCACTATGGCCTTGGGCCCCAAATATCGAATAAATAATTCATGCCCCAAAAAAGATGCATTACAAATGCATTGATAAAAAAGCCTCATTTTGACAAAATTATGTATTCCCGTGGTTGTTATTAATGCTGCACCACTTTATTAGGAATTAATGCATCAGCTTAATGCCTCAACCTGATGCTTCCTTTTTCTATTTTCTATCAATCAAAACGACGAACAGTTTCAGAGCGACTTGAAAGATATCACCTCGGCATTGCGCTGCAGTCGATCGACGGCGAGGCTCTATCGTTATTAAGACTTTCAAAAATGGCCCGAAAGGGAAGGGGCTTGGGAGGAAAGGTAAAAAGAATCATTTGCATCAGTCATGACACCTCTCTCAATCCTACACTCCTCGGACTTTCGGCATGTTTTCTTTGTGAGCCTTCATTCTTGGCCTGTGAAATTCTAATTGATTTATTGGCACACTGCTACGAGCTTGTATACTAATTTTTCCCACCAAGATGGGTCAACTTCATGGTGGACCTTTTATAGGTGATGAGGGTATATACGTTGAGCGTCTAGTGAATTTTCATGTCAATCGAAAACTTATGACCGGAGGCGATATACTTTTTGGATCGAAAGTCCAAAATATTGGCCGATTTTCTTGATATAGGGCCAAATTTCGGTCAAAATGAATAGCATCATATCCGCCGCTTCCAAGGCGAAGTCACGTCACACGTCACTCGACCTGAAACTTAATTTCCAAACGTACCTGTCCAAAGCCTGTTTTGTCCTTTGAGCTTCAGAACGCAACTCAAATTACGCATTTTCTCGCATCCGACCGGAGATTAATTGTCAATCGACCTTCAAGAACGATGCACAGATCAGATCGATCACATCAAGCCGATCTTCATCCCCGCCAAGACCAAGCTCAGAATCTTCCCCCTTTCTTCTTAATTCTTAATTTCTTCCTAATTTAATTCTTAGAGTTTTTAATTTAAGCGACTTTAAGGCTAAGAAGCCGAAATAGCTGAATATTTGCAAATAGGTGATTTGAGTTCCTCTGAAGACGAAATGCATTCCCTTATAATTGATTTAAAGCATATCTGTTTAAATTCGAAAGTTGTGTTGCTTTAAAATCTCATGATACGAAACCAACTGGATGTTGTTACAAAAGGGCAATGGGGAGTCCATGCTGCCGGGAAACATCTTCCTTTTCTCCATCTGATTACTTAGAATTCCAAATTCGTTTTGTGTGCCTCAGTTTAAAATTATGGGTGTCACTCGATACCTGGTGGTGATTTTTATTGGGTCAAAAAGTTCTACCATTTTGACGTCGCGGAGCCTATTTTCAGCAATGAGAATATAATTTTACCGAATGCCTTCCCGGGCGAAGTGCTCACAACCAACAAAGTATGAGGCATTGTCGGCGACGGAAGTTGTTGCTATGGAAACTGCTGGGAATGCTCAATGTCATAATTTGTTGTGTTACCTGTCCCGTCGACAGTTTAAGACAATGATTCACGAATGTTTTCAGCATTTAGTTGGTGCTCCAATATCATTATATTTTAAATGTTGGCGTTCTCAAAATGCCCGAAAGAAACTATAGTAAGCTATCCTGCGGCGGGATTTCCTGAATTCAAGAGAAAAATAGAAGTTCTGGAGTCACACTCAGTGGATAAAAATGATTGACGAAGTTCACAAAACTTCTAAAAAGTTCTATGCAGGCTGCCTCCAGAAATATGAAATGACGAAGAAAGAGCAGAAAGCCATGCACGAAATATTCCGATTAGACATATTCCGGCCGAGCGCGCACGTGCATTTATATCATATGCTCTCAAATCATATATTCTAGGACTGTAAAAATTAAGGGTGAGGGCAAAAGCTCGTCAGCCAGCAAGGCATTGCTTTTTCTCATCAAACTCTAACTTCCTATTGAACACCTTCAAAGGAGCACCATTCATCTTCAACATATACTCATCGATTAAAACATGATACACGAGGCTCCCTTAGGGTTTGCGCGAAAATCAGCATGTTACCTTGGTACAGACTAGATGTCGCTGGTCCGAGAACAATTCGGATAACATGGTTCTATACGAATGATATCGAGTAATTTCGGTATGGATTGTTGCTGCTTAATTCGAGTATCATGTAGCTCTAAAATTCTGGATCTACATGCAGGCAAGTAGATACGGAAAATGTAAACTTTTAAGTTCGAGGAGTTATATTGTACAGTATGTGAGCTCTTGTCTTGCATTGTGTTAAGTGCTCCCGAAGGTCCCGATGGTCTAACATTAATTTTCTTCAACGAATAGTCACGAAATCCACGGTGATTACGAGGGATTGAAAACACCTGCCTTCCCTCGACACCTGACTAGGGGTAAACAGAGAAGTAGTGGAACACTCCTAAGTTTTCATTCCTATAAGATGCAGAAAAAACTTCAGTTGCAATCCTCCCTCATGTTAGCATTAAGAAGTATTGTTCCCCACAAGGGCTGACAGAAAGCCAGCAACATCTTGGATTTTTCGTGGTTACTAAATTGTTTCTATGTTTTTCAAAGGGAAAACATATGCCAAGGGAAGATTGCAGCTGAAGCTTTTCCTGCATCTTAAAGGAATTAAAACTTAGTAGTGGTCCACTACAATCGAGTGGTTCACTATTCCCCTGTTTGTCCTATATAAACTCGACATCGAGGCCTGAATTCATAACAGTTTGCGTTCATTTCACGAGCTCCTGACTTCCTTGTCTCACGTTCCTTCGGGAACTCTTTCGAATCTCACTGAGAAGAGCTCATGAGCTGTCTGTTGCATCAATTATACATTTCTTTCTTAGTGTTCATTAGCTTCAATTAACTCAGAATAACCGACAATATCCGAATGATTTCCCCATCAAATACAATGTATCACAAATCTTTGAGCAACGAATAAATTTGGAATTTTCCGAGGGAGTCAATTAAAACTGTGTGCCAATGAAATCCGTTGTGCATTCCTGGAACAAGTGTTTCAAACCGTCCCGAATATTAATTAAAAGCGCAGCTGAATTGACGACATTTGAACCTAACGTGGATTTCCATGGGACTTGGTTTTGATTTTGCTTCAACTTTCACAATTCAGTTGAGGGTAGTGCCTGGACTTATAGTCCAGGAGGCTTCCAACGAGGCTTCCAACTTCCAAGTTGGAAGCCTCTTTAAATATTGTCATGAAAATTTAAATACAGATGTTTTTTTCTTAAATAAAGATGCATTAAGTGTCATTTTAAAGACAAGAAAAAAAAAAACAGAAAAGCGAGAAACAAAGGTCGGTTCGTAAACATGGACGATGCGGAAAGGGACTCCGACTTATAAGAGACGACGAGTTAATATCAAGAGAGCGAATGAAAACAGCGTACGAAAAGCAGCATTTGTGTGACGAACGAGATCCATTCATCAGGGGGACCGGAAAGTAATGTCGTTTTTTCTATTAATCACAAACATTTGTTTTTACAAAAAGTTTGTTCTTTTGTTTTTTTTTGGCTTCAATCAATTATGTAACACTCATCATTGTCGAGGACAGTTTCCCATCTTTTTTTAAATCAAATTTTAAATTCCCTGTTTATAGAAGGAGACTTGTTTTGAGGCAAAGAATTCCGAAAGAGCAATTTTGATAACATCAATATTTCTGAAAGTCTGTTTGACCGGGGTCTGACTCAACCTCCGACCTCAAGAGATCGTTCTTCAGCTCTACAGGCCATCTCGAACGATGGCCATCCGAGAGGTCGGCATCGCCTGACCGGAATTTACTGAACTAACCCTGGTATTTGCGGACATCCTATACATCTCTATAAACACGAGAAACGTGTTTCTTTTTTCTTTTTTTCTTGGCCTCCGTTGCCTTACTTCCCTTACGTAACTCATAGAGCATAAAATGTCGAGTTTGGATCTCTTCGGGAATGTGGTCAGACATTTTTGCTGAAGAAGATGATAGAATTTTTGTTATCGGAAGAAGGCTGGCAACCGTTCTTTACATTAATAAATAAAATTCATTTCAAAACAAAAGAAAACAACATAAATAATGTTTACATTTAGTATACAAAAAAAGCATTACTTTCCGGCACCCCTTATATTATATATTCATAGCGAAACCCACCTAAAGGGAATGAGGAAATCGCTTGTGATATACGTATTGTGTAGTTATGAGGACCCACGAGACAGATTTCGGCAACCGTAAAGGTAACAGAGGGGACTTACTATTTCAACAGAATATCGTTTGTCGCAGGCCTCCTCCGTCCCAGTTTTATTATTCATCGCGTACAGGTAATATGTAACACTGTACATGCAGCGCCATGCCCTACATGTCCTCTTCTTGGCCCCCTTGAGATTCGATGCAATGAATTTATTATCAAAAGCACCAGATCCATAAGTAACAGGGGACCAGATCGGACGATTCGCGCCGACGAAAGATATTGTGTGAGCTTGTTCCACCAGAATGTATGCGCAGTGCAAGCGGCTACCCCTCCATTTCATCAGCGAACCGGATTAGAGGAAGATGTGGCTACTACCCTGGCTCCTCACTTGGTTCGTTTGGAGGGTGATGGGAACCATCACTACTCAGCGATTCTTAGCCCCTCAGATCATGAACATGAAGATCACTTCGCCTTCTGTAGAACTTGTGGTTTGTTCCGAGATTGAATGCGCCTTGTCTTGCATGCAGTGAGTCGCCTACAACTTGTCTGTATGTAAACGAAATCGAAGTTGCTTGAAAGGAAATATTTCAAGATTTTTCCAGTTTTAAGAGTTCCTCATGTGTGTCTTGGTCTGGAATGGATGGGAATGACTAAGTTATAGAAACATGAAAATTACCTTTTCATAGAATGACATTCTTTTTTACTATATGCCGTAGTGGGAGGTATTTGATCCTTTATGTACTAGCGGCCTATGTCCGCTATTGTGGCCTTCTACCCGTACATATACTTTTTTTTCACTGTTCATCAACT